CTAACCCAAGTTTCAGGACAGAAGAAGCTTCATGGATAAGAAGTGAAATCAACTAAGGCCTAGTCCACACGTAGCCGTTTTTTTTTTAAACGAATATCCGCCCCTCCAAAAGCTTGCATCCACACCACCTCGTTAAAAGAAAACTCTGTCCACACGTACCCGGATAAATACGTTGTTAATGACATGCCAGACCTGTTGGCGGCAGTACTTCCCCCGTTCTTAACCTCGTCCTTCGTCTGTGGTCTTCCGCAAGGAGCAGTAATTCCGCTTGCAAAAACAAACAAGCAAAAAGCGCTTGGACAATTGATAAAGTGAGCACAGCTCTGAGGGCATCCATGTTGTCGGCTAGTGTAAACACAGGTCGCACACGTGATGTCAGCATTTTTTTGTCGCGGAAAGTGACGTTGCGGACCTTAAAACTCCGGTTTTGTCTGTCCACACACAGACACCCAAAACGGAGAAAACGCAGATCTTTTTAAAAAGATCCGTTTTCGTGTGAAAAAACTCCGTTTTCGTGTGGATGACAGGCCAAAACGTAGAAAAGTATCTACGTTTTTGCAGATCCCCGGCTACGTGCCGACAGGGCCTAAACCTTCATGATTACCTTCACTACCAGAACATCTTGAAGGACTTTTTTGGGCCGTTTACCTTTAGCACACACTTCATGCTGACAATTCTTAAATGTGGCTGAATTAACTCAATTATGCAAGGAAGAGAAGACTAGATTTCCTCCACAGTGTGAGGGACACATTACTGGTATTGCAGATGCAGTTTTTGCCAGTTTGGAGGTCAGAGTTTCTTTTGGATAAATTTTGAAGTTCTGTTTTTTAAACACAGGAAAGGTTTTCTTACCTTGCTGACAGTTTTGATCACTCCTGCGATCTTCATCAGAGCTAGCCGCTAATGGCGTTAATCTCAGTTTTTCCACGGGGAACAGAGGACGGTGTCGCCCTCTGCTGCTCGCGCTCTCCTCACCGATGACACAGTTTCATGCATAATCTAATGTGTAGACCCCCTCGTCTCTGTTCATGGTTCCATGCCCACGTCTCCATATTTCTATGGCTTCCTTAATCCATCTTTTATGTTTCTGTTGTTCGGTGGTTTTGACCTTTGTTTTGTCCCAGTCCATTATAAGCTAAGGATAAACAGAGAAGGAAGTTACGCCGCCATTAGCGGCTAGCTCTGATGAAGATCGCAGGGGTGATCAAAACTGTCAGCAAGGTAAAAAATAACTTTCCTGTGTTGAAAAAAAATAACTTAAAATGCATTCAGAAGAAGAACAGAATGAATTACAAAGGATGGAGTTTGTTTTGTTTTCAAGAAATCTTTGACTCATTTTGAAACGTGTTTTCTGATTGGAAATGTGGAAGGGGCCGCGGAAAACAGCAGAAAAAGACAAAATATGTAGGCCAAGTACTTTTTTTGATGCACAACACTCAGCCTTAAATGAACAAACCATCCCATAATAACATTTTAAATGTTGGTTTCTTTATTCATTAAAAAGGTTTTAGGTTTTATGAGTCTGAGGTGAAAATATGAAGACCATGCTGACGTTTTATTTAAAGAATTTTGACATTTGCCTAAATGCCAATTAGTTTCACATATGGTAACGAGAAATAACCAGACAGAAGGATCCTTGCTATTACAGCTGCAGACACTGTTTCATTATGAAAATTGGATAATGATGAGGTTATGGCTGTCTCGATTTGTTTTTGAAAGACTGTTGCCAATTATAGTTGACTTATACAGGTGCTGGCCAGTAAATTAGAATATCATCAAAAGGTTGAAAATATTTCAGTAATTCCATTCAAAACGTGAAACTTGTACATTATATTCATGCAATGCACACAGACCAATGTATTTCCAATGTTCATTACATTTAAATTTTATATTTATAGGTGACAACCAATGAAAACATCAAATCTGGTATCTCAGAAAATTAGAATATTCTAAAGGCCAATGAAAAAATGTTTGTTTCTCTAATGTTGGCCAACTGAAAAGAATGAACATGAAAAGAATGTGCATGTATAGCACTCAATACTTAGTCGGGGCTCCTTTTGCCTCAATAACTGCAGTAATGCGGCGTGGCATGGACTCGATCAGTCTGTGGCACTGCTCAGGTGTTATGAGAGCCCAGGTTGCTCTGATAGTCGTCTTCAGCTCCTCTGCATTGTTGGGTCTAGCGTATTGCATCCTCCGCTTCACAATACCCCATAGATTTTCTATGGGGTTAAGGTCAGGCGAGTTTGCTGGCCAATCAAGGACAGGGATACCATGGTCCTTGAACCAGGTGCTGGTGGTTTTGGCACTGTGTGCAGGTGCCAAGTCCTGTTGAAAGGTGAAGTCTGCATCCCCATAAAGTTGGTCAGCAGCAGGAAGCATGAAGTGCTCTAAAACTTCCTGGTAGACGGCTGCATTGACCCTGGACCTCAGGAAACAGAGTGGGCCAACACCGGCAGATGACATGGCACCCCACACCATCACTGACGGTGGAAACTTTACACTGGACCTCATGCAACGTGGATTCTGTGCTTCTCCGCTCTTCCTCCAGACTCTGGGTCCTTGATTTCCAAAGGAAATGCAGAACTTGCTTTCATCAGAAAACATAACTTTGGACCACTCAGCATCAGTCCAGTCCTTTTTGTCCTTGGCCCAGGCGAGACGCTTCTTGCGCTGTTTCTTGTTCAAGAGTGGCTTGACACACGGAATGCGACACCTGAATCCCATGTCTTTCATGAGTCTCCTCGTGGTGGTTCTTGAAGCGCTGACTCCAGCTGCAGTCCACTCTTTGTGGATCTCCCCCACATTTTTGAATGGGTTTGTCGTCACAATTCTCTGCAGGGTGCGGTTATCCCTAGAGCTTGTACACTTTTTTCTACCACATTTTTTCCGTCCCTTCGCCTGTCTGTTAATGTGCTTGGACACAGAGCTCTGCGAACAGCCAGCTTCTTTAGCAATCACCTTTTGTGTCTTGCCCTCCTTGTGCAAGGTGTCAATGATTGTCTTTTGGACAGCTGTTAAGTCAGAAGTCTTCCCCATGATTGTGGTGCCTTCAAAACAAGACTGAGGGACCTTTTAAAGGCCTTTGCAGGTGTTTTGAGTAAATCAGCTGATTAGAGTGGCAGCAGGTGTCTTCTATATTCAGCCTTTTCAGAATATTCTAATTTTTTGAGATACCAAATTTGGAGTTTTCATTAGTTGTCACTTATGAATATCAAATTTAAATGTAATGAACATTGGAAATACATTGGTCTGTGTGCATTGCATGAATATAATGTACAAGTTTCACGTTTTGAATGGAATTACTGAAATATTTTCAACCTTTTGATGATATTCTAATTTACTGGCCAGCACCTGTATGCAGTGTGTCATTAAGTGTGTGACAACACAATCTGTGGTAACCTTTTAGTTTACAGAATAATTGTATTTATTTATTTCTAATTAATCCTTCTCTCAAAGTCAGCGGTTGAGTTTCATACACATCTTAAACCATCGTTTTTAAATAGCCAATAAAAGATGAGCTTCATGACTCAATGAACTACTGACATTAGTTCCTTTGGTTCTTTACTCACCTGCTAAAGAAGCTCAGAGTTCACAGGTCAAATCCATTTAATTTCATCTGACCTTTTAGTTCTTAACCCTGTCTGAGTTTTTTTTTTTTTTTTGCATTAGATTTGGTCTCAATGGGGTTTGAGTAAAAATGCATAAATTCAGTGTTCTAAATCGTGCATGCAGTCAGGGGCGGATTAAGGACTGAAGAAGATCCGGGGCTTAACACACACACATGCGCGCGCACACACGCACGCACGCGCGCGCACGCGCACACACACGTGACACGCACTAGTCAACATCATATATATTTGTCTTGTACCACATAATTTTTAATCTGAAGCTACACGTTAAGCATTTTCAGGACAGAGTATTGTTCCTGTTAGTGTTTAGTGTGAGATGATAGTAAATATTCCCTTTCTTTCTCCAACAAGTTTACCTGATAAGCTAACTTTAGGCAAACCAGCAGCACAACAACTATTTTCAAATAAGACTCACAAACCTGAGTCAACACCAGTCTCATCAAAGCTGGGGTTCTGTCATTGTACTTTTGGTATAAAAAACGTCCTTATGTCCATCTTCACTCATGCGTTTCAGGCAGAGAGTAGAAGAAACCAGGCACTGCAGAAGAAGCCGGCTGCTGAAGGGCTTCTTCTTCAGTGGTGGAGGCTCAGGCAGGCTGTATACAAAGTACTGCTAGCTGCTCCCTCTCTGTTGGACTTTGGTACTGCATGTTACTTCCACGTTTTAGATCCGGGGCTTTTCATTAAAGATTCGGGGCTTCAGCCCAAGTAGCCGGGCCTAACAACACACCTGCATGCAGTACACATTTTTCCAGAGTGGATGAGTAAGCTTAAGAGTAGCTATTTCATATGGACATTTCTATCATCTGCACTCTTTATTTTAATCACAGGCTCTAACTGAGGCCTTAATCAGCATTTTACATAACACTTGCAATCAAGACACTATTTCACATTCATCACTTTTCTCTCACTTGTCTCACAGACTCAAGATATATTACCTGATAGCTCTCTCAAGACTGTTATCTCAGTCCCTTAGTAAATGAGGTTGTCATTTCCATTTGTTGACACTGAAGCAACAATAAAAGAAAAAAAAACAGGTCTCATCCTCTTGATGCAGCTAGGATATACTGACTACTGGTTGAGAAGGCTTTCAGAAAGGGAGCAAAGAAGGCAAGGAGAAGTGAGTGACATTTGGTGCCACATCGGTGCAGCTCTCTGTGTGTAGGTGACAAAGTTGACCAATGCTTGAGGCCTCCAAAGCCAGCTCATGACACACTGTCCCCCTGAGATCAGATGTCACATGGACAACCTCAGTTTGTTTGCAACATTCCCTGAAATGTTTACAGTACACTCTGCAAGTCTGTTTAATGCTGTTTTCTGTGTGAATCTACTGTGGATTTAACTTTCAGTGTGTGCTTACTATTTCAGGTCGTTTACAAAAACAACGACGTGAGGCTTGAGTTGTCCAGGCTGGCCAAGTCGGGCGATCCCAAGATGAAGGTCCATGGCACTGTTGCCTTTAAGTGTGAGAATGTGGCCACTCTGGACCCCATCACATTCGAGACACCTGAATCTTTCATCATTCTCAACAAATGGAATGCTAAGAAAACAGGATCCATCTCCTTTGACTTTCGAACTACCGAGCCCAATGGTCTTCTACTTTTCAGCCACGGCAAGCCCAAGCAGCAACCAAAGGACTCCAAGACTCCCCAAACTCTTAAGGTGGACTTCTTTGCCATTGAGATGTTGGATGGCCATCTGTACTTGTTGTTAGATATGGGCTCAGGAACTACAAAGAGCAAAGCTGTCAACAAGAAAGTCAACGATGGCGAATGGTATCATGTGGACTTCCAACGAGACGGGAGATCAGGTAACTTTTCTGTCCCTATAAAGTCCCATTAGTCATCATCACACACTGGTGTTTGACTCATCCCCATGGGGTGCGCCGCACTGCAGCTGTGGTTGCACCCGGGAACCATTTGGTGGTTTAACCACCTAATCCAACCTCTTGAAGCTGAGTGTCAAGCGGGGCAGCATTAGGTCCCATTTTTAAAGTCTTTGATATGACCTGACCAGATTTGAACCTCGATCTCCCAGTCCCAGGGTGGACACTTATACCACTGAGCCACTGAGACAAACATAAGGAAGTTAGGAAAATGTATCCTAAACTTAAGGGTGTTTGAAGTCATTTATTTCCATGCCTGCATGTTAGACTCAGGGACCACCATAGATATCAACTTTAGATGTTAATGTAGGGTGGGTTTTATTTTCTGACTGACACATAAAAGTCCTCTGCCTACTCTACTACATCGAGCAGAAACCTTGAGCTGTCGCTCTTCTTTGCAGTGTCTGAATGAATTATTTAACCCTGCAAAGAACACAGCAGTGGGACTAGAAGTGTATTTCCTGAGAGAGAAAACATCTGCTATCATGAAAGAGCTGATACTACATCTCATTATAAACATTTATATATGTGGTGCTAATTTGGCTTTGGATTCTCAACCTATCCTGTAATTCTACATTCGTGTCCGACATAAATGCCTTCTTCTATGTGTCTTTTGCCCTTTGTTGACCCTGATTAGATTCCTGTTGATTTGCCAAGGTAGCAAATTTGTTAGCTCAAGGCTAGGACCTTGCAAAGTCATGTTGTCCATTCAATATGCGCTTTGACCATGTTTTCTACTCAGAAAGGTGGAGATTACATTAACAGTTTCATCATTACTTGGAGAAAATGAGATCCATTTAGTTTATTCTGTTTGAACTGACGGATTACATTTATAAACAATATTGCGTGGCACAGGGTGGCATTGAGCGAACTTATTGGAAGAAGAACTCATTGTTGACTATGGCAGACCAAACTATTTGAAACACTCATGCTAAATTAGATTCTGTTCATTATCCATCTCCCATCCTCCTGTCATCCACCCCCACACACTTACTCACATGCAATCATTTTAACACACACACACACACACACACACACACACACACACACACACACACACACACACACACACACACACACACACACACACACACACACACACACACACACACACACACACACACAAACAACAACCCCAAGTTCCCTGTACTCACCAGCTTCTCTGTCTACCCTGCCCAAGTTTCCATGGAAACAGGAGGTGGTCTCTCCCAGGACTAAGACTGCACAGTGCTTTGCAGAGCAACACGCTAATGACATTTCTGGAGTAACTTTTCCTCCCTTCCTCAAGTCTAAGACATCAACACTCCTGCACTGGAGTGTAAGGAGGACATGAAAATGTCTCTGATGACTTCCAGTGTGTAAATAGAAACAAAAAGCTAATACAGCTCCACTTTCATGCAGTATTTTGAATTAAATGCTAGTTTATCATCTTTATTGCAAAGATTTGTTTGTTTTTGCCAGCCCTTGAATTTAGTTGTGTTATAACAAATCTGCAAACAAGTTAGATTTTGGATGCAAACATGATCTCAGAACACTCACCCCTTCCCTCCGGTGTCTTTCTTCAGACGCTTCTGCTGGAACCGGGAACCCACGATGTTCAACAAAACAAGAGAACACTAAACACCAGTCTCCGTTTTTTAGCATCAAACGTCTTTTGTTGTTCGTGACTTCAAATGGTGTTTTTCTTTTCGGGACTCTGGCAGTTTGTCCTAAAGTTTAAGTGGTAGCAACCGTCCGTTTCTCCTTCTCTGATATTATTGAGCAGAGAACCTCTCGCACCAGTGATGCAAAAAAGAAGAAGTATAAACAAAACACAATAATAGTATGAACCACTTGATTTTTTTCTTTTCGTTTTCTCTTAATCTCCACAATACATTTATAGGTATAATAATAATAGAATGGATTGAATATATATAGCGCTTTTCAAGGTGCCCAAAGTGCTTTCCATTATTCATACACTCACTTATTCACACACTACCTGTGATGGTAAGCTGCTCTGTAGCCACAGCAGCCGTGGGGCGGTCTGACAGAAGCAAGGCTGTCATTTTGCACCATCAGCCCCTGTGACCACTACCAACACAAGGAAGTTGGGTGAAATGTCTTGTCCAGGGACAATTCAACCCTGGCGGGAGCTGGAGTTGTTCCCACAACCTTTCGATTACGAGGCAACCCACTCTACCTCCTGAGCTACTGCTTCCCCATACTATGTCAGAACGTTGTGAGGAGGCATGGAGAAACATGTTTTAAGCTAGTTTGTTTTCCAAATGTGTCATTGTAGCTTTAGGGTTTGAAGTAATGCTGTCGTATTGATGAGGCGGGAAGTATCTGCTGGGGGTGTGAAGACCAAATTGTGCTGATTTACACGTGCACAGATCAATAGAGCAGCCCAGATTTGATGCAGTTTTAGAATTGGAACCCCCAAACCAAGATTTCACCCATTTAACAATTAGATGGAACGTGTGCAAGTAAACATCTACCACAAAAACAGTATAAAAATGTTCCATTTGTTGATGAAGAATTGATTTTCTGTGGTTCCTGGTGTTTTAAGAGGAGAATAGGAGCTTTGATTTAAAAAGGATTAATTGGTTAATATCCCAAATGATATTGGTTTTGCACCAGGCCTCGTTTTTCAATACTGAAAGTCAGTTTTTGTTCAGAAGAAAAAGTAACACATTTTTAAAACAAGGCCTATGTGCAAGCTGTCATTTTTATTACATGTATGCATTTGGTAGATGCTTTTCTCCAAAGCGAGTTACTAATTTTTATCAGAAAGTACAACTGCACTGAATCACATTCCTTTAGAATCATTTTGCATTGTGAAAAAGGGCTGAATCATAGTCAACTGAATCTTCTTTTACCTGCCCAAGTGAGTCATTGGTACTATACTGAGATACAAATCCATCACAAACCATATCACAGGAAAATTAAAACACTTACATTTTTGTGTCAAAGAAGCGACATGTAACTTTAATTAGTCCAGGATGCATGTGTATACATAAAGACGCATTAAACAACAGAGTCTCACAAAAAAGAGAAAGTCAATGAAGCCGTTTCCTCAAATTATCTAAACGTTTTAAATTTATTTTCATTTCAAAACTAAACAACAAGTATGAGTACTTTTTAAACAACCTTTACTTTTCCTTGTTATGCTTTACAATAAATATTTGATCAGTTTAAGATTATGTTTAAACATGAGAGAGGAATCTACAATTTCCTGGAGAACCCAAGTTATAAAACATATGGCACACACAGCTTTTCCTCTGCATCTCAGATGTTTTATTAGTGCATGCCACCAAATGCCTCATCCATAACACGAATGCAACACAACAGCCAGACACAATTATCCACGGCCCGTTCTTCCATGAACAACACTTCCTGCAGCTGTGACAGCAATGGATAATGATCCCTGGCCTATTTAGTTTAGTCAGTTCTTCTGGCGGGAACAAGCCTGCAAATGGAGTTTCACTCTCAGAAAGCATCTTCTAACCTCAATGCATTAGAGACGCTAAGAGACACTATGCTTTTAAGTGAGGGTTTCTGGGTTTGGAGTGCTGCAGGTCACTCATCAGGGACATCACACAAACAGTCGTGCAAGGGCTCATGCAAGCATGTGCAGACACGCGGATCCCACATTCCCCAACCCTCACGGCCAACCTCACCAGCTTCTCCTACAGAGAATCCAGTCACATGAAGAGATTTGGCCCCGTTGCTTTAACTGGATTGCAGTAATACTCTAACTGGCATGTTTTGGGGGATGTATGAGAGAGGGAATCATGCTGACTTATAGGCTGCTGATGCAGAAAACGTGAGAAAGGTCTGAGCTGCCCTTTGGACCCCTGCATTCAACGATAAGGTGTTTCTTTATGGGTCAGCTTATGAAGAACGAAGAGACGAGGCAACGATCTGGTACTGCTGATTGTCCCAGTTCATTTCCTCTCTTCATCATCACTTTGATGAACTCCTCTTTACTGCACTCTCTCTGTATAATACAATCCGCTGTGGGTTTGCATGTGGTTTCTTATCTGTCTTGATCAAACCCTCTCCCAACCTTTCTTTCCAGCCATCTTTATCTCTACATTCTCATCTCGTTTGGTATCTCTTTCTTTTTTATGCACAGCTGTGCATTCGCAAAGTCAAATCCGTCTTCTTTCAGCCGTGAAAAATGCTCAGAAAATTGGCAGCACTACAATGTGTGCATATGTGTTCCAGCCTTTAAGCATGACAACGGTTTGTGTCCTCTAAGGATTTTATTCTGGTTTCTGATTTAACATAGTTTGACGGTGTTTACGCACTTCCTTACGCAAATTTGACAAGTGAACAGAGCAGTCTGCATAGATGTCTCAGATGATGACATCCTTCTTTTGTCGCTTGCATCACTTTAGACAGACCTGCTCACTGTGGATGCTGGTTTTAACTGACTTACAGTACATTCAGAAAAAGCAAAGATATGAGGGGGGCATTAGCTTGACGATGATGATTGCCTCAGTATTTACTTTGTGAAAGTGTTTCCCACCAAGCCGTAGTTCAAAGGACTTCTTACTGCTGCAGGGTTGAATCTGTCAACACTGATACTTCTCTCACAATTCACCCAGACCATGCTGGTGTTCGTTCTTCTGCTGGGCACCTGCTCGACTCTGAGAAAAGTTTTCCCGCTAATGAGTTTGATGTAGTGAGCTCGTTAGCAGTAACCTGAAGGGAGCTGTTCTGGCTGCGTGACGGGTGGCCCATGCCAAGTGTGCAAAGCTTGGAAGTCTCAGCAGCTGCTGCTGGAGAGTGCCGGGGCAGTAGGTGATGGTGGGAAAGTGCCAGAACAGATGCCTGGGGCCAAGACCCCAAGAAGAGAGCTGGAACATGCTACCAAGCACCAGGTTAATCATTGTGCACAAGGTCCTTAACTGTCGCTCTCGTGCACTTTTTCCAAGCAGGCCGACTCACCTTGGTTATGAAGACAAAACACAACCAAGAGTATGATCAAATAATGTCATTTCAATGGTCTTTGTTCATTTTTTGTAGATTAAAATGGGTGAACCCCCCCCCCCCAAATAAATAAAATAAAATACATTTAAATTATTTTCATTATGCGTATATTTAATTGTGATTTTCACATCCATGCATGCTAATGGTGGATGCAATGGAATGTGAAATGCCCCATTTATTGTCTAATTTGTGTCTAAAATAAGCCAAGCAGCCCTGCTGAAAATGCATGCGTGGCTCAGGGCTCGTTTCCAAGCACACACACATTGACTCGTAAAGTCGCTCAAAAGCCACGATCCTATCACACTTACAAGCAGTTTTGACGCTTGCCATTTATCCCAAAGCAGTCAGCTAATAGTGCAGTTATATCTGCCGTGGCATGCATCTGCCACTCAAAATGCAAATTATTATTTTATGGCAACTGTATTTTTAAGCACCCTTAGCCTACTTTTCCCTTTTCCGCCACCGCTTGTGCGAATCCCCAGCAGCGAAGTTTATAGATTACTCGATGAGGATGCGGGCAGCGGAGGCAGCCACCATTAATTAAAGTCCACAGTAGCTGCTGTGCAGAGAGTGACAGATCCATATACAAATTAATCACCAGGTCTGAGTCCCACAGTAAGTCCTTCCTTTTGCCAGGCTTAACACTCCAGTCATGTCCGCTGTTGTTTACCGTGCTCCAGATCGAGAATTAAACCTGAATGAGAGTGATAAATCATGGCGGGGAAACACACAAACTCCCTTTGCAGGTTTACGTGTTGGAGAGGCAAAGAGAAGGAGAAGACAGGGTGAAAAAACACAACCTGCAGACCGTTAATCAAGTTCAAAAGGATGGCTAGGGTTTAGGATTTCTTTCCTTTTTTTGCTCTTCAAAAGGAAGGTGGAAGAGGGCGTCAGCAATGATAGAGGGCAGTGATTTTTCTTTTCCTTACCTTTCGTTTTATGACCACTGCTCTTTAGATAAAGAAGATTTATTAGGGGAAATCTATGGAAAATGGAGAGGATGCTCCCAGGGATCCCAGATTAGGTTTCTAATTGACTAGCTGCCCTGTGATTAATAAGTCTTATCAACAGTCATCAGTCATTCTAAATGAAGAAAACCCTGACCCGGCTCGGATGTGTGTCCCTAATTAGGCTAATTTTTTCATCAAAATTTTTTCAAATTGACTATATTTCCACGTTTGCATTTTTCCACAGATCATATGTAGATCTAAAGGCATCTAAATACACCGATAAGTGTTATAATCTTTACAAATAACCTCAGATGAAAATAAAACAAACAAAAGATATTAAACTAAATCTATTTTCTGTTTATTTCCAGGTACCATCTCCATCAATACGCTCCGTACCGCCTACACGGCCCCTGGGGAAAGTGAAATCTTGGACTTGGACGACAATCTCTACCTTGGGGGTCTGCCAGAGAACAAAATGGGGCTGGTGTTCCCCACTGAAGTGTGGACAGCGCTGCTCAACTACGGCTATGTGGGCTGCATCCGAGATTTATTTATTGATGGACAGAGTAAGGATGTCCGACGCCTGGCAGAGATCCAGAAGGCTGCTGGAGTCAAACCCTCATGCTCTAAAGAGCCTCCTAAACAGTGCTTGAGCAACCCTTGTCAAAACAACGGGATCTGTAGAGAGGGGTGGAACCGCTACGTGTGTGACTGCTCCGGGACCGGGTACCTCGGGTGCTCCTGTGAAAGAGGTACGTCTTACGCCCAACGGTTTGACCCCTTGAATTGTTGTTCTGATGGGCTTTGGCTGAGTCAGCGGTGGAAGGTGATGTTCTAAAATGCTTCTGTCATTGTGGATGTGGGCATAGAACCATCAATACGCTGTAGCTGACACTATGGAAAACTAAAACTTATCTCGAGAGAAAATCCAAGGAGATAAGATGATCAGTGTCAGTAGAGAAAAGCCTTCTGGTGGTCTTTTCGTCAACTCTGGCTGTTGAGCGTCTGCAGCAGAGCCAACGTAAAGTAAGGTAGAAAGAGTGCTTGTGCAGATAGAAGGCTGCAGAGAGGTGGACAGAATGAGTTAAGATGTGTAGGGCTAGTGTCGGACTCCGCTGAGTGGCAGGTGACTGATGCACCACCGAGACACCGCTGGTCACGTCCACCGTACACACTTGCCTGTAAATTGGCTGTCTTCTTCCAAGCATTTGCCTCATGAAACCACTCGCTCATGACCAGACCTTGTGCAGAATACTTATCTGTGTCTCCTCCAGAGAAGAGGAATGGGAGGAGAGTGTGTCATAGAGATAAATTTTAAAGCTCCATGTCTTAGCGGGAGCCGAGTTACCCCTGACCCTGTGGAAATTAATTTTATGGCAAGCAGAGATTTTTTTTTTTTGCCAATCTAAAAACGTAAAGCCTTTTATTTTAGATTCCTTCATGCTGGTAGTAGTTGTCTAATAGGGAGGCTCATACCTTTTTGCTTTGATAAATCCAGGTGGCGTCTTTTTTGTGTTACCAGATGATCAAGTCTCATGTTATTTTTTCTGGTGCTAAACCAAAATCTCGTGTGAGAGATGCAGGGCTAATTTCAGGAATCTGGGGATTTTGTTGCCAAGAGAACCATTGTTTAGCATCGCGGCAGAAATGTGAGTTAGGTCTGTGATTTTCTGCACAACTGTGCAGCAGAAGAGCAGCTTAAAGAAGGTATAAAATATGTTGTGACACAGCTATGGTGACCTTCCCGTAACACAAGTTAAACGATGATGAACAAAACACTAGTTTTAGCTTTCATCGGGCTTGTTTTCTTTTTAATTTATGCATTACTTATTCAAAGACTTATTAGACTATTAATTGAATATTAGTTAAAAGTAAAACGTTAGGCCTGTTTGTGGCCCTTGATTTAATGCAGCCTCCATTTGCATTTGTTGAATTTTGCTCTTTGTCTCTCCAGCTGGCTGTCGATGTAGAGTGATGCTCTTCTTTATGTTCACATTTTTGTTAATGTGAGTTTCCTGGATTTATTTAAGAGTTATAAGAGGTAAAAGTAAAAATAACAATCAATACATTTCTAGCATTAAAAAAAATTCAAGTACTGTTACCATGACGATTTTGACCTGTTGGTGGTTTGAGGGATCGGTGGCGCCTTGCCTCTGTCAGTGACTCCCTGAGCAGCTGTGGCTACATTGTGGCTCATCACCACCAGGATGTGAGTGTGTGCATGCATTGGTGAATGATTGATTGCGTTGTAAAGTGCTTTGGGGGGTTGTAGGACTCTAGAAAAGGCCTTAGCAAATACAGGCCATTTACCATTCATCTTGAAACTTTTGGTCACCCCTGTGCTGTGCTAAAGCACATAGTTACAAGCTTTCATAAAGGACTATGAAAAAATGTAATGCAGTTAATGCTGAGGACATTAAAAGCATTAATTTTTCCTTTTGTGTTTGTATCGGCATATGCACAAGGGCAAGGCCATGTTGCTTGTTTATTAAGTTTCGTGTGTTTCACCCATTTTTTCTATATTATTTGCTGGTGTGGGATTCATTGAAATGCTGGACATGCACAACTACATAGATTTAATGAAAATAAATCAATCCTGCAAGCAGTAAGGCTAAGTTATGATACTGGCCAAATATCTGGACTCAAAATTTTGTAGGAAAGCCGGTAGGTGCAACATTGAAATGAAGCAACTTTATGCTGTGACTAAAATCTTGTGTACAATTTTGCTGGTGCTGGGTGTGCTATAGTGTTAAGAAGACACGTTCACTCCATCACCGTTTACTCCTGTCATCGTTTTATCAATAGATAATAAATTGATCATTCTTGACCCTTCAGAAAAATAAAAGTCCAACATTCTTTTTTAATATCTGCTTGTGCCTGTTTCTCTTCTCCTTGACATTCTCCTCTGCTGCGTATTGATTTTTGACTTGTAGTCTACAACCATGCAGTTAGAAGGAAATAAATGCTTCTTTTCTAACCGTAGGTCTGAAGGAAAATTTGTTGTGCTACGACTAGATCTTAAAGGAGCAATATGTAAGAATTCTACAGTGCAATAATCACAAAACAGTCTGTCTAAATCATGTTGGAAGGGAAGTTACAAAAAATCAAATTTCCTTCTCAGCTGGCTGAAGGGTTGTCAGTTTTCCTTCTTTCACAAACTTTTGTTTTAAGTAAGTGAGCCTGTGAGGTTGCCAATTCTGCACCAAGCTAACACTGCACCGCTGGCATTTGTAATTTGACTTTACTTGAGAGTAAACATCATGGCTCTAAAGTTGGTTTTCATCCATGTGTGTCACAAGTCACGTGATCAGGAAGCGGACAATCGATGAATTAGGAGATCATTTTGGGAGGCCGCTATGCCTAAAGCAATTGGGCGCCAACCAGAAAAGGCCTCTGCAGCTCACACTTGAGCTCACACATGGATCGTGAATGGAAAAAGCTAGAAACGTGCGGATTCCTCCTTATGTTAGAAGTGATTCTACTCTTTCTTTTGGTAGTTTTGGTGTTTATGTGGTCATAGAGCATAATATTCTGTGACTCTTCAAATAAATACTTAGAAACAGTGGCAGTCAGGGGCTGATCAGAAAGCTGGCAGGGAATGAGTTAAAGTCCCTGTAGTTGTCTCACACATTGGTGTGTGAAATTTGTTCTCTGTAAAGCGGGGAGGTATTGGGTCCCCTTTTTAAAGTCTTTGGTATGACCCGACCGTGGATTTGAACCCACAATCTCCCAGTCTCAAGGTGGACACTCAAACCACTATTGGCCACAGAGCTGGTAAGACACCCAGCAGTGCTAACACCAGATGTCACAATGTATTTATTTAATTGTTAACTTACTATGTATGATCCGTAACTGGTAACATCTGTGAAACTCACGGAATTGGAGTGAGAAAGGGACATTTATTGCATTAACCAGATTTGACCACAGGATGTCATTCTTACATGTTGCACCTTTGTAGCATACTGAATGGCCAAGTTTTCATCAAAAATGACCAGCAATTAACTTTTATCTTACAAGCCAAACTTCTTACAGGTCAGTCTGACACAGTGGTGCCGACATGAAGAAATTAACTTGAGCCAATATTCTTAACAAATTCTGCGTACGTCATGAGACCTCAAGGCTGCAAGTCACAGAGCTTCTCATCGTTTAGTCTCTGAATAAAGTGTGTCTTCCCTGGCATAAATTACTATAAAACTTCATAATCATATTTTGTTGAATTAACAATTTTATTCAAATCCAAAGTGTTTGTGTTACATTAATGAATGATGGGTTAAAATGAAATTTTTCCTGTAATGATTCATTTCAGACATTAAATTACACCAGATCATTAATTGTTGAATTGATAATTGATCTATCAGTATGAACACAATTACATCACAACATTATTATTAATGTGTAACATTTTTGCTCCACATAACTGTTTAACATTTTTACTTCACACTAAGAGTTAACCTTGTTGTGATTATTAGCCAACGAATAATTTGTAAGCTTTACTTACTTTTTTGGATTCATCAATAAATTCGTAAATATGGAAATATTTACCGATTTATTACGTAATTAGGATATCCGTGGATATGCCTTGGGGCACCACCAGGGACGAAATTTTGATTTCAGAAGTGGGGGGGACACAGCAGGCTTGTGCGGATTTGGGGTGGGGGTGTTATGTAAAGACCCTTTGACACGTCACGTGCCCATCTCAATAATTTTTCCATCCTCAATATATATATATATATATCAAAGTTAAAAAATGTACAACTCTATTATCATTAATATTTATTATCATTATTGAAGTGCAGTTTTGGCTGTTGACAATGGATAGGCCATTGTATTTATTGTTTTGGGTCTTTTTTTATTGTTTTTGGTGCAACATTTTCTAACAGGGAGTGAGATTCTTTTTTTTTTTTAATTTTTGTTTGTTATTTTTATTCATTTAGAAGTTCTGGTTCTGGACATTTCAATGTTAAATGAAGGTTTATTTGTTGCATTTTAAAGGGTGTACTTGCATTATTATGATATATTAACATTATATTAGTGGTTATTTTGGTCTAGATAATGTTGACAATGATATCGTTTATCATCAACAATTTGTTGGACAAAATATCATCCAGCAAAATTTGTTACTTTCCCAGGCCTAGTCAAAAGTATAAAAAGTATTTATACATAAACGGTCCTCCTGAGATCTGGCCGTTTGTTCATTTGCTGTGTTAGAGGACATGCTGAACTAATGTTTTACACATGATCATCACCCTAACATTTGTCACAATGATCAATTTTATGTCTATCGTATCTTCATTATTTCAACCTCACCTGTGAGCCTCCAGCCTCTGCTCCATCTCCTCCAGGCTCTCGTCCTCCATCTCCTACAGCCTCTCCTGCTGTACCTTCACCGGTCTCTCCTCCTGCATCTCTGTCAGTCACCTGAAAAAAAGATGCATGAACTATAAACAGTGGGAGATTTTGGAATGGAACAAACAGAAATATTTACAGGATGGTTCTAGTATGATTCACAATTATTATTAATATAATGTGTAAATTATTCATTACCAATTTGAGTGTATAAAAACATATTAAATATGTTTTTTCCCTTAAACGTGTTTAAACAGTTGTTGCATTTCAACACACAAAAAATAAATGGAAAAAATAAGATAAATCTAATGAAAAGAGTACATCTTTGACATTAAGCTTAAAAAAATCTGTTGACGATGATACTGTTCATTTTTCAGAGCTTTTTAATGTGAACATATACATTGCA